AAGACACAATTGTTGGCCCAATTACCTCCTGAATATCACGATCTTGCCCATGTCTTCTCCAAAAGACGCGCAAAGGAATTGCCGCCGCATAGGGAGTTCGACCATAAGATCAATCTGGATAGCGAGCCTGAGCTCAAGCAAGCTCCCCTCTATAAAATGAATCAGAAAGAGCTAGATACCGTACATGCTTACATCGAGGAGAACCTGGCGAACGGGTTCATCGAACCCAGCGATTCTCCGTTCAATTCCCCGGTCTTGTTTGTCAAGAAAAAGAATGGAGACCTTCGATTTTGTGTAGACTACCGGAAATTAAACGCACACACGCGGAAAGATCGCTATCCTCTGCCCCTCATTGGTGAGACATTAGCCAAGATGGCTGGTTCTAAGAAATTCACCATTCTAGATGTCATCCATGCGTTCAACCGTATCCGGATGCATCCAGACTCCGTGGGATGGACTACGTTTCGTACTCGATTCGGTCAATACCGTTACCGCGTGTTACCTTTTGGTCTGTCAGGTGGCCCGGCCACTTTCCAAAGATATATCAATTCGGTCCTAGGCGATCTGCTCGCTCGTTACGTTTCCGCATATATGGTTGATGTATGCGTCCACTCTGAAGATAAAAGTAAACACGTGGCAGAAGTACGCGAGGTCCTTCAGCGTTTGGACAGGGCTGGACTGCAGGTGGATATTAAGAAGTGCCGCTTTAATCAAAAATCTGTTAATTTTCTGGGCTTCATTGTTAACACTTCCGGACTCCTGCCAGACCCGAAGAAGCTGGAAAGTATTCGCGCATGGGAGAGACCTACTAGCAAGACTGCCATTCAATCCTTCTTGGGGTTCTGCAACTATTACCGTAACTTTATAGAGAATTTCTCCCGGATCGCTAAGCCACTGTACAACCTGACAGCAATCCCAAAAGGCCAGTTGTTCCAATGGACCGAGCAAGCTGAAGAAGCGTTCCTTGCCCTGAAAGAGAAATTGGTCAGCCCACCCATTTTACTGTACTTCGATCAGAAGAAGCCTACACGTATAGAGACCGATTGTTCTGATCTAGCAACAGGAGGAGTACTCAGTCAATTGCAGGAGGAAGGCGTGTGGCATCCTGTGGCTTTTCACTCCCGAACCTTGACTGGTCCGGAGGTAAACTATGAGATCCATGATAAGGAGCTGTTGGCTATCATCCAATGCTTGAAAGAATGGCGCGCAGAGCTCACCAGCACCTGGGAGCCGTTCGTGATTCTGACTGATCACCGAGTTCTGGAATACTTTGGTCAGAAGCAGCTACTCAACGATAGGCAAATCCGATGGTCAGAGGTGCTATCGCAATTCAGTTTCGACCTTCAGTACCGACCAGGCAAGGAAAATATTCTGGCAGACGCGTTATCTCGCAAGAAAGAACTTACCCCTACACAAAAAGCTGCAAAAGAACTGGAACGTACGAAAATCCTCCTCCCTCAAAAGAAAGTTACGTTGCCACATGACAGCAAGGTGTTAGCGCCCATCGACGAGGATCTGGATACTATTGATCGTATTTTTATGGCCAACCGAGCAGATCCCGATCTCGAGGATCTACGCCAGCAAGCACGACAGCGGGAAGAACCTTATTCTTTGGAACCTACCGGGTTGGTGCTTCATAAGGGACGCGTGGTGGTGTCAGCCAAAGACAATCTCCGTACTCAAGTGTTGAAGATGATCCACGAATCTACATCCACCGCTCATCCAGGACGAAACAAAATGAGGAAACTAATCGGCGACCGGTACTGGTGGCCACGATACCCAGCAGACATCGAGCGTTATGTGCAGAACTGCCATGTCTGCCGACGATCGCATAAGCCTAGAGACAAGACACCGGGCTTACTACAGCCTTTAGCCATTCCAGAACGTACATGGGATGATATATCGATGGATTTTCATGATGTGGGGGTACCAGACAAACGAGGGTTTAATAACATTTGGGTAGCTGTTGATAGATTGTCTAAACGCCAAATCTCCATCCCCACCACTAAAAGTGCTACAGCAAAGACTGCTGCAGACTTGTTCTACCGTTATGTCTGGCGATTCCGTGGCGCACCGAAGACCATTACCAGCGACCGAGGTCCGCAATTCATTTCGAATTTCATGGATGAGTTGTCAAGGTTAGCGCGCGTCAAACTCAAGCTATCTACGGCAGAACATCCGCAGACAGACGGCCAGACCGAAATTATTAACCAGATCATTGACCAGCGACTGCGACCATTTGTCAATTTCCACCAAGACGATTGGGCGGAGCTGCTTCCCGCTCTAGATGCTGCTGCGGCAGCTATTCCAAATGAATCTACAGGATTGTCGCCATCAATGATTGACTATGGTTACGAAATGCGTTTAGAATTTGACTGGAATCAGCGACTGGAACCACGAACCCCTCGAGAGAAGCTGAATCGGGACGAGGCCGCGGTGTGGCTTAAACGGATTAGCAGCGCGTTGGATTATGCTAAAGAGAGCATCAAACGCTCACAGGAACAACAGCGTGTTCAAGCCAATAAACATCGCCGAGAAGTAGACTTTGACGTTGGAGATAAAGTGTATATCCGGCGCGGTGCTTGGAGAACTACGAGACCGTTGGATAAGCTGGAAAATCCAATGGTGGGACCATATCGGATCATTGCCAAAGAAGGGCATTCATTCCGCGTTCAACTACCCGCCTCTTGGAAAATACACCCTGTATTTTCACCAGACCGACTGCGCAAAGATCCAGATAACCCGTTGCCCGGCCAGGCCAATCCAGAGCCGCCGGCAGAAGAGGTCAATGGAGAGTTAGAATGGGAGATCGAGAAGGTGTTAGACGCGCGGCTGTATCGCAATCGGCTGCAGTACAAGGTTCAATGGGAAGGCTGGGACGCAGACGAGGAATGGTATCCGGCTGCCAACCTTCGGAACGCACCCCTCATATTAGAAAAGTTCCACGCTGAGCACCCTAAATTGCCAGGGCCACCAAGACGTCTCGCTACGTGGTTGGACGATGCCGCACATGATAGATTTAGTGAGGAACATCCGGAAGATAATATGGTGACCAACCAAGGTCGTGACAACCAACGCCGCCGCAGAAATTAGTCGATTTGGGACAATCGAAGGCTGAGGAGGGGGTGATGTCACGGCACGGCATTCTGCTCCGCCATGATATACAATTACGTGGAGGGAGGATGTGAGATTGATGGCTGATGCAGGAAGGAGCACGGACGCGGCGATTTAGTGGAAACCCGCCCGAATAGGAATAGCCTCAGGGCTTTTTGTAATGAGATCCTGTTCTTTTCTATTCTTCTCCAGCTTAGTATTTGCTTCACAGATTGAATTATTGCCATACAAGCTGTACTTTCACTTGTGCCTATTCTACGCCGTGACAGAGAGCTCGGTGTCGATTAAGACACCTAGCCATCTTAGAGTAGGATTTGTATTTCTTGGGACGCCATTGATGATGACCGGAGGAGAAGGTTGACGAGATCTGTGAAGATGAAGGATTTCGGTCTTGTTTTCTGCCAGAGAAAGTCCATTCTGCTCGGACCAACAGGTGATGCTTCCGACCCTGTTGGTGGTTGGATGAGAAATATTGGCAAGAGTTTTTGCGACCGAGAGGATTGCTACATCGTCTACATATCCAAATGTAAGAAAGCCGAGTTTAAATAACGGCTCGAGAAAGCGGAGAAATAATATACGAGAAGCAGGGGATCCTTGAGGCAAGCCATGCGGAATATCCAAAAAGTCTCCGACAAAATCATCCACTCTGAGACGAGCTTTCCTGAAAGAAGCAAAGGAAGCAGCCTAATTCACGTATGGTAAAGGCCATCCCTGTTCGCAAAGACGAGCGCGGAGACAGCCAGGCTGAATACTATTGAAAGCACTTTTGATATTGAGGGTGGCGAGAGTGCCCACTTGCTTTGTCTCCAACACTTTTTCGGCATTGTGGACCAAACATTCTACGAGATCCATGGCAGACCTTCCAGGCAGCGCTCCGAAATGCATCGAGGAGATAATACAATTTGACAAGGCCCAGAAGGCAAAGAGTCTCGCAAGGAGGCGTTCCAGCCCTTTCCCGAGAACTACAAGAAGCGAAATTGTTTGCCAATTGGCAAGATTGGTGAGATCGTCCTTGTGCGGTTCAGGAATGAACTAGGCCAAATATTTTACTACCATGCCATATGTGCACGTTAAATTAGATTGATGCAAAAAAAAAAAAAACGTTAAATTAGTCACGTGACCTTGGATGGCCTCCAATTAGTAGTTTGTGTGTGGGTTCCGTATATTCGGATCATAGTACCCCCGGCATAGGGTTCGGAATAACTATTACTCACTCCATCTCTCAAGGGTGGTTGCTACAAGACATATGGAATATACACCATAAAAATTACAACAGAACTTCACAAATAGATATACATGTTTAATAACGGCCTTGTTGTAATATTAATGAGGAATCCTCAAAGCCGAGGTAGGTTTGTGGTCACCTGGCAGGTATGGGAGTTTGTTTTGTGAGTAGGCAGTAGTCACATGACTTAGTGCGGTTCGCCATGTCGCCCATATGGAAGACACTCCCGCAAGTAAATAGAACAAGAACCACTACATCAGAGAGAACCCCATTGCTTACGCGTACACGTGTATATAACCAACCGACACTGATCAGTAGTCCATAGGTGTGACTACAGAACAGCTAAGTTGAAGAGACAGATCTCTCTACTCCGCGTTCCCTGATTAACTTCTGAACAATCAGCGGGAGAGAAAAGTGCTAAGAATACATTGTTAGTTTTCAAGATTGTTACTGCATCGACACCTTTGTAAGGACGCGCAATACAGCCATACTATCCAGCAAACTACAAGAAGATCGAAAGCTACAGCCTATAGACCTACCCTGACCGACAACTTTGCTGTAGTGCGTGTTAGTTCCTCTACTGTTGCCAAGATAAGCGTCATTCACGCTTCAATTTCAAAATCCACACAGCAACTGCTGTCCAGAAGGAAACCTGATTGAAATGTCCGGAACAAATACTTCAGAGGCAGAAGCCGAAAACCGCATCAAGGATTACAAGATCGCGCAGCTCGCCCTAAGATTAGAAGGTACAAGCATATCCTCTCGTCATTTCGACTCTCTAGATCCAGATCTATGGGGCGAACCTGTCAATAAATTGTCATCCGCAGTAGCGCTTACAACCTATGCTGTCAAGCTTCTCACAGATTGGGAAGAATACAAAGAACATGGCGAAGATCTCTTCCTGCTTTTTAAGGAAGAGTTTGCGGACTGGACATCAGATATGTTCGGTAAAATCAAAAGTCCATTTAAGAAAAGATTCCGAGATTATCTCCACAACAACGGTGTCTATACCGGCAAGAAGACAATACCAATCGGTATTGCAATGGTAACTCTTCTGAACTGCGAAGAACTTCCAGAGTGGCCTCAAATAAAGGAGATAGACCTACCAGACCAAGGTCAACAGTTTCAACAGCAAAAGGTTGCACCAAAGCAAACTGGCTATCAGTCAGAAGAAGGCCAGGCTCTCAATTCAATGTTGCCAACTCTAAAACAACAATCACAACCTCCCTTCCGACCCATTCGTTCACAGTCTCCTTACCCTTGGGAGAATGATCAACCACGACCAGCACCAGGTACTTTATACCCTCAGAGACCAGCTGTCAGAGCTGTAGTAGATTACAAAACCTTTGATGATTATAATGACCTCCCACCACGCGACGTTCAAAATGAAAGAGTCGATGCCAACACACAAACATCTTTCATCAAGCTATGGAATCGTAACCAAAATTACACTGGAGAAGCGTATGATTTGCTGGACAACAAAGTTCGATACTTCTTACGAATTTGTTACAATCTTAGCATCCCAGTCCAGTATTTCCATGGTTTGTTTTCACACATTCTGGATGGTGAGGCTCAAGCTTTCTATTTAAGCTACGTGCCAAAAGACGACACCTTTTATAATCAATATACTAAGATGAAGTATCATTTCGACACGGAAATTAATCACCATCAATACTACACTGACTGGACAAATATTACGTTCGCAAACTTCCGTAGTAAGACTCCAGATAAGCCCTTACAAGAAGTCCTCGACGCGTTCTTGAAGAAGAAACAACTCTGTCAGCGAGCCCTAGGTGAAATGTACATTGGAGAAAGCTTGCTACGAACACAGATTATAACCAATTGTAAAGGTGTTCCAGAACTGGAAGTAGCATTATTCAATCCTGGAAAAAGTTGTGAGGAGTTGTTTTCACAACTTCGATCCGCCATAGAAATCTACAGTAATCGCAGTCCAAATCAATTTACACAGTACAACAATGAGTTTATGGGTGATAATCAATTTTTCCTTGACCGCCGATACACCCATAATCGCCTGCATCGCGGTAAATACGGAACTCGAATTGGAAATGGTAATAGCTTTCAAGGTGGTAATTGCGGTAATCCTTCAGGTGATTCAAGACAGCAGCAGCGCCAGCTACGTTGGAAGAAGAAATGCTTTGTATGCGGTAAAGAAGGTTGTTGGTCAACAAAACACCCTAAGGAAGATCGTAACCGCGCAAAATCACAGTACATGTCCCACTGTATATATAGTGATAGCCAACCACCAATAGACTTTGCTATCTATCTTGCTGGGTATGAAGGAATCGGTGATGAGACAGAAGTAGTTGACAAAATTGATTATTCCGAAGAAAACAACCTTACAGCCGAAGATCATGATAGTTTTCATCAGGTCTGTTGACTAGCCGACCAAGCATTCTTACACAAACTTAGTGGCGAGGATAAGTATGCTGAGATTTATGAAGATTTGCCATCAACCTTTGTATCCAACCGGTACTGCAGGCTAAATTACGAGGGGATACTGATAGATACTGGTGCCAGCACATTCTCTACAGTTGGAAAAGAACAGTTCCTTGCTCTAAAGCTCATTTTACCTAAAATTTACATCAACGAGCACGATGCGGGAGAAGCAGCAATTCGCTTTGGACCAGGTGAATTAACCAAATCAATTGGCTCAACTCTAGTCCCAACGCCGGCCGGGCATATCAAATTTCATATTGTTGAGACGCAAACACCGTTTATTTTTTGCTTGGCAGACATGGATCGCCTAAGTTGTTATCTTGACAATACCAGAAATTTCCTCGTCAAACAAAATGAAAACAGCAAGCAAGAGATCCCAGTCCTTCGCAAATGGGGTCATTTGTGGTTTTTCCTGCCCAAGAATGAAAATGCTCTACTTTTCCTTACAGAAGTAGAGCTCCGTAGGCTACACCGTCGCTTCGGCCATCCAGCAGCTCATAGGCTTCATAAACTTCTCAAGAATGCTGGTCACGATGATATAACTGCAGAAACTCTCGAAGTAATTAATAAACTTTGCCACCAATGTCAGATGAACTCAACGGCCCCTAGACGCTTTAAATTCACTTTAAAAGATGATCAAGAGTTCAACTACGAGGTTATAGTAGATGTTTTGAAGCTAGGCGATAAAAATGCCCTGCATGTTGTTGATTCTGTAACTGGGTTTAACGCAGCCCGCTTCTTGACAAGCATGTCCGCCAAGGACACGTTTGAGGCCCTTCGTTCTTGCTGGATTGACGTATATTTAGGACCCCCTGATATTGTAACCCATGATTCCGGTACAAACTTTGCATCGCAAGAGTTTCGTGCTGAAGCTAAGAGTATGGGTATATCTTGTAAACAAATTCCCACAGAAGCTCATTGGTCGATTGGAAAGGTAGAACGCTACCATCAGCCCCTACGCCGCGCTTTTAATATTATTTCGCAAGAGCTAGGAGGGACGGTGCCTGATAGTTCACTTCTTCAGATGGCTGTGAAGGCTGTTAATGACACTGCTGGCCCTAATGGACTCGTTCCCACACTTCTCGTTTTTGGCGCCTATCCGCGGATAAATGCTGACTCACCCCCATCAATTAATACTGCTCGACGTGCTGAGGCTGTCAACAAAGCCATGAAGCAGCTTCGCACAGTTACTGCCCAGAAGCGAGTCAATAATGCGTTGAGTGCCAGGAATGGACCGGTAATGGACGAGCTGCTAGCACTACCAGTCGGCAGTGAAGTTCGAGTATGGAGAGAGAACCGTGGATGGCAAGGCCCTTACAGTGTCATCGAGACAGATGGTCACAACGTTATACTGGATATGGTGAATGGGCCAACAAAATTCCGCTCCACAGTTTGTCAGCCCTACTGTTGTTCTAGTCAGGATCCGACAACCTATCCAGACTTTCGTCCGGAAGCTGTAGACCAACAAAATGATCCTCCAGTCCCCATCCCCGTAGTCCCCCGCAGCCGAGGTAGACCAAAAGGTTCCAAGAATAAAGCAAAACCACTAGACAATACAGCTCTTCATCACGTCACAAGAGGCCCACAAGTCTTCCTCAGCAGGAAAGAGATGAATGACCGAGAGCTTTCAATTAAACTTCGAAACGACGGCGTGATAAGTACTCCAGGACGACCGTTTGAGGCTTCTGACGCCAAGGAAATAAACGATCTTGTTTGCGCAGGAGTCTTCAAGTCTGAGTTATTCGACCCAGTTGAACATCGCGGCCGAATATTTAAATCGCGCATGGTCCGTGAAGTTAAGGGTATAGGGAATAAACCATACGAAAAGTCTCGATTAGTTATCCAAGGTCACAGTGACTTAGAGAAGCTTTCAATCCTAACTCAATCACCTACAATTCAACGCATGTCCCAGCGGTTAATTCTGTCAATTGCACCTTCACTTTGTTGTATTGGCATGAGTGTCTCTCTTCGAGATATTACGCAAGCTTATCCTCAAGCACAATCTCAACTTCAGCAGCAGATTTTTGCTGAACTCCCACAAGAATTGAAAGATAAGTTCCCGATAGGAACTATAATTCGGGTGATAAAACCACTGTACGGCATTGCAGAATCCGGTGTTCATTGGTTCCATATGTATCAAGAGCACCACAAGCAGCAGCTGGGCATGGAAATGTCAACTTTTGACCCGTGTTTATTAACTACTACAGGCTCTGCCGATGACTTTGGTATTGTAGGCATGCAAACAGACGATACCCTAATCGTTAGCACGGAGTCATTCTTGGCCCTAGAAGAGAGACAGTTGAACATAGCCGGGTTCCGCGCGAAGCCCAAGACTTTGCTTGAGCCAGGTGTAGGACTAGACTTCAACGGCGCAAGGCTCAGTTTCTGCAAAGAAAACATACTAGAGCTAAAACAGAAAGGACAAGGCGCCAAAATTGAGATTATTAATGCTCACAAAAGTGACTGTGCTCAGCGTTACCTAGAGCAACGTGCCCGTGGTGCTTACATAGCTTCAATTTGTCAACCTGAATCTTCATTTGACCTATCGGTCGCTGCTCAAGTCCGGGATCCTCAGGAGAAAGATTACATGAATATCAATCGGCGGCTTCAATGGCAAATCGATCACCTTGATAGAGGCCTCAAATATATCCCAATAAATCTCGCCGCTGCCAAATTAATTGTTTTTGCTGATGGCTCATTTGCAAATAATAATGATTTGAGTTCTTAACTAGGTTTCGTGCTGATGCTTGTTAATGAGCGCAACTGTAGCAATTCTTTTGATCTAACTGGAAACCTTATCCATTGGTCCTCTACTAAGTGTAAGCGTGTAACACGGAGTGTACTTGCATCAGAGATTTATGGTATGGTAAACGGATTTGATGCTGGATTCGCAATTGCTTCTACCCTACGCAGAATTACAGAAAGATTATCAATACCGCCCATTCCGTTGGTTGTCTGTACCGATAGCTACTCTCTATACAAATGCCTTGTTAAGTTGGGCACTACCAAAGAAAAGCGACTTATGATTGACATCATGGCATTGCGTCAGTCTTATGAACGACGAGAAATAACAGAAATACGTTGGATTCATGGAGATGACAACCCAGCTGATGCAATGACGAAATCTACACCAAACAAAGCCCTTGAGCGCTTTATCGACAGTAACCAATTGACAGTTCGTGTGGAAGGATTTGTAGAACGATCCGTATCTGGGAAGTAGATTGCGAGAGTTATTCAGGTTGTTGCTATGGGGAGGGTGAAATTACAACCAATCTGCTGGATCTTGGCAACAGATAACTTGTGTCAAAAAGAAAATTTGCCAGTGTTGTAATATTAATGAGGAATCCTCAAAGCCGAAGTAGGTTTGTGGTCACCTGGCAGGTATGGGAGTTTGTTTTGTGAGTAGGCAGTAGTCACATGACTTAGTGTGGTTCGCCGTGTCGCCCATATGGAAGACACTCCCGCAAGTAAATAGAACAAGAGCCACTACATCAGAGAGAACCCCATTGCTTACGCGTACACGTGTATATAACCAACCGACAGGCCTAATTATATTGGCATTCAAGACGCGCACCTGTGTAAGCAAGTCATCTAGTTGAAGCTTGCAGGCGTGGCCGAGCGCGATATCTATTGGTAAAACACAAAGCAATACCGCTCGGATGCCGACACAAATTCAGTGAGTGGAGTAAATTAAATAGCATCTCGAAACACATTAATGGTTGCCTCTCCGGCTTCATCTCTGTCCCCTTTCCTCTTCTCCAAACGCATTGCTGGTAGTGCCAAGCCAGAACCTAGTCAGGGTCTACACTACTTTCTGAACATCACAACTTCACAGAACAATTCATACCGCTCAATTGTGATCGGTTTCCGAAAATTTTGTCCGTCGTTCTATCTTTTCCAAATTTAATTGACCTGAATCTAGGAATCAGTCGGGGAAGTTGGCGACTCTGTTGGTAGTCCTTGATGAACTCATTGCATCAGCCGCCGCGCTCTCCGAAGGAAATACTATTGACACTCCTATTTGGGCTGGGAATTTGAACAGTTTCAAAGCTATGGCTAGATTTCCTCTCCTATTGTAGCGAGAGCTTGGAAACTTGCACTCCTGCCTTTCGAAAGGTCCCTAATTACTCTTTTGTTGGTGCACTAGTCTTTGTTGGTCGGACCAAATATATCGAGCTGTCGAATCTATGGGGGCTCCACAGTTCCGAAATTCGTATCCTTCGCTTAGTTGTGATATCTAAATTATATAGCTCTTTTGTATTAATTGGATTTAACCGACAACTCTCCACCATATTTTTCAGACTCTTCATTTTCCCAACTAACTTCACTACATGATATCAAACAGAAGCCCAGCAGCTAAAGCTTCTCCACAAAACCTCCACTTCAGCTTGAGTGTGTCTTGATGAACCACTTGGCGTGGTGCCTGGCGCAAAAGGCAGACCCATTTGTAGAATATCACCTACATGATGTCACGGTTTCAGTACAAAATGCTTGGGCGATCTTGTAAGTACAGTATATTAATTATAATTCTCTGGAGAGAGAATTCCTCGATGTAAAGTCTACATATATATATATTCTAAATTACTGCCCATCAAGATGATTCTCCCTGTGACCTGAATAATTGAGCCGCTTCTACAACTACCTAGAAGGTTCTCGGTACACCTGTTATCCTCATGAACCTTCAGTGTGTTTCCAGAAGGTTCACTGAGAATATTCGAAGTTCTGTGGCTTCCGAGACCTTCCCCTTGTGCCATAGCCTACGCTAGCCAGCGTTGGCTACAGGAGTCTTTCGGCTTAACAGCCGTCACAATCCCCCCTCTTCTTCTGAAGGGCTTCAAGTATATTATATATATATATATATATATTTTATTCTTAATATCTCCTTGTATTTCCTTGCCGACGTTCTCTCCGTGACCTCTGGACATGAGGTTCTGCCTGACC